ACTGGAAGATTAGACTGGAAGAAACTGTATGAGTAGATGTGATGACAAGTATCATCTTGCAGTTGATGATTGGTGCTGGAGTAGGGAAGGGAATACTTGGAAGAGCTGATTGTAACATATGCCAAAATGGCCAACAAATACGGGTTCATATTCCTTCGGAAACGGGTCAGCTTCTATCTGCAGGATGGTTTGTAAGTTTGGAGCGGGACAAGGGTTGTACCTGCTTCTTCGGAGGGATTGGGAAGGGACACCACAAGCGAGTGTCAAACCTCCCACTCGCAGAAGAATTAAGAACTATCACTTAAAACATGTTGCAGGTGCATCCTACTAGAAAACATGTGTTGATTCGTGAGAACACATTTGATCGGGACTACAGCCCAGCCAAGTGCCAGGCTTCATCCAGGCTGCGGCGGGTGCCCAGCTAAGTGATTTTCCCAGTTTACCAGCCTTGGACTGGTGAGGTGCGAGCTACATCAAAGAAGTAGCCAATACCAAAATGACCAAATATCGTTGAGGAAGCTACGCCAGCCAGAACTTCTTTTAATGGCGGGCTCCTCCCTCGTATGCGGGCTTCTCCAAGGGAAAGCAAGCGGGATAGTGCCTCATTGTTTGGAATGTAGGAAGCGAAAGCTACGGGAATGCCATGTGCTCTGCAGGGTCTTTGTTTGAGCCCATCCGCTCTACTTTTGGATTTGCTCAGGGCGAGATGAGAAGAACCGATCTCTGTGGGGTCTCTCTGTTCAGCTCAAGCATCCCAACAAGAAATGGACACTCCAACCAGTAGCTTATTCCTTTTAGTAGGCCACTGGGTACTAAAATCTAATGAAGAAACTGGCTATGCTTGTGGTTGCCAAGCGTTACCGCCACTTCCAATTCAATTCCATCCCACCTACTGCTGTCCTCCAATCCAATGCTTCCGGCAGCCCCTGTGCAAAGAAGTTCGCCGGCGGCCCTTCCGCCGATGGCGCCCCGCCCATGGCGCCCCAAAACAGGCCCGTTAGGGTTTGCCAATGTTTGCAAGACGACCTTCGGCGGTTGGACAGATCGTGCGAAGTGTGGGAGTGTTCAGAATTGGCGTGGGATGTCCAGCAGAGGTTGAAGAACCCTATAGACTATCCTATAGGTAACCCCTGGTGACGGGTCCTATGGTCCCGGTCACTCAACCTCTGTTGGTGTCCAGCTTGCTCAGTGTCCAGCTCGGTGGGGTATCCGGGCCACGACCGAATCAGTGTGCAGCTTGGAGCTTGGAACTGATAGGAAGGGGCGTGTCTAAGGGGCGGGTGAAGCCCCAAACCCAAGGTTTCTGCCACTGTGCATCCTTGAGGTTTCTGCGGCCCTGTGCGTCCTTAGATGTAAACCAAAGGAACCGCACCGCGCCGTATTCTGTAGGTTTTGTCTGGGGGCCTGACCCCGGGTGATGCGAAGAATACTCGTCGGTCATGGATTTACTGCCATGTCGTAAGATGAGAAATTGAAATTGCGGGCAGTTCGGTTGAAATAGCATCTGGTCCAATGCTGACACAAAAGAAGCCTAATTAATAAATCTTCTATGCCGTGCTGCCACAGCTTTTTCAAAGATGTTCATATTGGTGCTGCAAGCTAACTCCTGATTAATTACAGTACAGTGCAATTTCCTAGCTAGCTGCTCTAAATCCCTAAAACCAATCATGTGGACATCTGTTTCCAAGAGCTGTGAGCCATAGCAGAGCGTCAAAGAATCGCACAATCACAAATGGACATCTGACTAAATAGCGGGAAGTTGCATAAAGTCGCCACAGGAAATCCCAAGATGCGTCCATTCACCAGAAACTGGACTACACAATCGGTGAATCCATCTCGTCTACTTCTGCCACCTCCAGTCCCAACCTGTTCCACAAACCTGCTGAAATGACCAGTTCTTTTTGGAAAGCCTATCATAGAATCTATGACCAGCTTTCATGCACCAAGGCCCTTAGGGCCACTTCATGTAATCTATGGAGACCACATGACACCACTGTCTTTGTTGGTCACCAGCAGCGGGGCTGATCACCATTCATAGTTTTTCCTTGGTGCTGCTGCCCGGTACACCAGGTTCCAGCCTTGACCCGTGGGATGTCTTTTTCTATTGCTCAACCTTTCTACCAAACAAACACATACATAGTAGACATGGACATCTAGGACAACAACCCCCTGCAAAAGAAAAACACCAGGTATATATCAGGTATATTTGTACCCATTTTCTGACATGCTTTGAGACTCCAGGTGCAGTGATCTACGCCCTTCCGGGTCTTCTAAAGCATCCGGGTCTTCCTGATGGCCTTCGATCTCCTTCTCCCCTGCGCTGGCCTACTTGATCAAGGTGGGGTCTTCAAATACCCAACACCTCAGCAAGCCGGGACGGGCTTTGTAACCCTGTTTCCGGGACGGGGGTTAACGGTAGACTCTTGATGGGTCAAAGCCAACGAAATGCAGAGATTTTACAATCCCAAACCGGGGGGTGGATACCCCTACATGCTTTTTCATACACGTTTTCTTGAAGAATGCCAAGAAAAAATCATCGACACCAGGCCAATTCCTACATCGGAATCACCTGGCTGGAGAACCCAGCCCACTGCTGATAGGTCTCCATTGGACATCCGCTGGAAGTGCTGTATATATACATACAAATATATACATCCAGGATCATACAGGCAACTAGAGTCTAAACATCCCATGAGTTAAAATGCTAGAATGCATTGTCCGATATTTGGCAAATATTTAGACCTCCCTCATAGGACCATAGACAACTATATGACTATATGCAACTAGAACTGTAAGTCTTGTGGCAATGATACAGAAATCATGGATCCTCAGGAACCATTTTGGGGGTGCGGAACTTTGGCTCGGATCGTGAGGATGCTGATGCTGAGGCTGAGGCTGGTGGTATTCAACCATGCACCACCCCTTCGTTACATGCCAATGGCTTCATGCGATTCATCCTTGGTTGACACATAGTCACTAGAGGTCATTAAAGGTCATTAGAAGACCCTAACAACATAGAAAATTGCTTGATTGATGTCACTTACACCGTCAACCTCTCACTTTGGTTTGTCAACGTTTGATGTCACTGATCTACAATTGTACAAATATGATCAATTATGGACTTTGGACTTTGGGATGGTGGATTGATCGTAGCCATCATTCAACTCCACCACATACAACAGCCATGTACAAACAGAAGAAATGAAACACTTCGTTATGCCTTTCTGGAATCTTAAGCTCTTTGCAACCACCCCGTTCTCCGTTTCTGACTGGCAATATCTGCAGATTCCGAGGTGCAACGAGCGAAAAGTGGCTTGGGTATATATATCCTATGGTTAGGTGGCAGGCCTCTCTCTAATTTAGTGTGATGTTCATGGCTGATCCGACTGTTATGAATCCTACGAGGGCAAACCCCTTCAACATGGCTGATCCGGCGGGCTCCCGCTCTCCTTCAGCCCTTCAGCGCGCGGCTCGAGATCACCAATGATGAAGTTCCGATCGCAGCTGAGAACCTGCCGTCGACGTCGCGTGCGGCCGATGCCGGCGCACTGAGCCTGGCCTGAGAAGACAGACTTTTGTCTCAACACAGCCAAAGCCATGGGTCTGAATGACGGGAGAATGAATGCACTTCCAAAGGATTGATGTTTTAAGCGCTTTCTTGGGCATATATTGTATAGACGAGCACTAACTGATTGTTTAACCTTCTCGGCGTAACTCATACATACCTGTAAGGTCATCCATGTCAAGAGTAGGTCTGGATAGTCCACATGGCATCTTCTCCAAATCATCCAATGCAGGAGACATGCCAACAAATTGTCCTGTATAGTTCATGTGTTTATGTGCTTGTATATATATATATATATATCTTATCACACAAATATGGGTCTTCTCCTTGGAATTGCTGTTCAGAAAGGGGAGCTGGGCAAACATACATACATTCCCCAGGTGCGGCGATTCCGCTTCTGCCGCAGCAGGGCGGGCGGGCAAGGATCGCGCGCGCCTCAGACTGAAAGGTGGAGCAGGGATCGCTGCGGCCATGGAGGAAATCCTGTGAGCGATGGACGGGACGACTGGGATGAGAAGGTGGACACCGGGATGAAGACCAACCCTTCTGAACCTCCGTCCATGTACGGAGATCGGCTCGGCCAGGGGGTCCGTCCAAATTCCACCTACTCGCTGCCCTAGCCGTGGGTTCAGTGAACTCTTCTCCTTGTGGCACCTGAGCAATTCATGCCCAAACGCAAGGCTTATTCAAAATCTGAAAGGGGAGCGCTTCTGGACTGTCCACAGGTCCTTTGCTAAGGGTTGGCTCAGCCTTTATAGTGGTTTAATAAGAAGTCGTTAAAACATCCGAGTACGCCTGAGGACAGTCAAGTTATGTTCATGGGGGGTAGTTTGGGGTTAGACGGTTCGCACCCAAGGTTCCACTAAATCAGTCGATTTCTCTGCCTTCACTTCTGACAAACTGTCTTTTCAGGCCCCTTCCACAGCCCAGCAAGTTGTCCACTGCCCACTTTGGGCTCACCAGAACGTCTGCAGCTTCCACTCACCACCCACCCCTAGTGATAGATCTCTTGCTTCAGTGCCAGATCCCCCCCCCCCCAAAAAAAAAAAACTAGTGCCAGGAAGAGGTTCCACTAGAACACTCACAGGCACCCCTGGGTGTCGGGGTCGAAGTGCAGCTGGCACAGTCCTTCTCCAAATAGAGCGCAAAGCCACTACCACCGCCCATCGCTAAGCACCTGGAGAGCAGGGATGTGATTGCACCGGACAGTGAGAAGTTTTGCCAGTTCCTTGGTCGTTCGGCGTTTCGTTTGGCCACCCTCTGCTAAGGTGGACTTAAAGTAAACATTAAACCAATGGTGTTTTTGACAGATGGTCCCTTTCCTGGAGCCTTTGCCGTGTCTGACAGCGGGTGTCTCTTGGGTGTCTCCCTATTTGGGTGGTCAAGGGCACCGAGGCTTCGTCACCTGTGACCCTGGCACAGGTTCACCTGATCTCGTCACCCAGCAACTCCGCTCCGTTCCACGGAGTGCACTTACGGCTCCGTCCCGTATGGAACGTATGTGGTCTTCAGGACGTCGGATAGCTATGAGGAGTGAAAAAGGCGGGTCAGGGGATATTGAGGGAGGTCACTGGAAGGCGACCGGGCGAACGGGAAGTGGCTTAAGCTTCCCCAAGACGTCTGACGCTGAGACGTTGATTCGTGTCGTGGCTCGGTTCTTTGCTATGACCAGCGGCCAGCGGGGTTGCAACATATTGTACGTAATGGAAGCATCAAGGGACCAGGAGTGGCTATAGATGTTGTGGAAAAAAAAAGACTATATATGGGGGTGGACTGGCTGGGTTATTTGGACAAGAATCCCAGGGGAGACATCCAAACAAGTGTGTTTCGCAACTGCAAGGATCCAAACCAGGGGCAATCCTCGGCCAGTTCGCTACCAAACCCCTCCGCACCTTAAAGGTGAGGTCTGGCGGGTGAGTCATAGCTACCTCGCCCCACGGTTCGCCCCGCGACGGGTCGGGACTGGGTCGACGGGTCGTCTGGGCGCCGCCGGCTCCGCGTCCGAGAAGAGGAAAAAGGCGTCTTTGGCCTCGCTCGAGTGGTGGAAGACCTGGCGAAGAACGGGGCGAACGGGGCGAACGTCCGGTCGAACGTGGTGGGGAGGGGAGTGTAATTGAATTTGGGTGAGTTGGAGTGGCAGGGGAGGGAATCAGGATTCTTCCAAGTGTGCTCTGAGTCTCTGAGTGTTGGGAGTGCCTCTCGCTGTTAAAGCTGTTGAAAAAGGGCCGGCAAATTGTCAATACCTAGGTGATGGAAGGGGTGGCACAGGCACAGAACAGTAGATGCTGAAGCACTTCAAAAATGCCTGAACCGACTTACAAGCAGCTGTGCTCAGCACCTTTGTGGAGCTTTGTCAACCACTTTCGTTCAGGATGCCCAACTTTCGTGAACTGATTTTGAAGCTCTTCTGCCCCAAATCAGTGATCAATTGCCCGAAATGGTTGCTTTCGAACC